CCCCCACCCGTCTCCACGCTGGCCTCGCCTCCCTCCCCCCACTCCGTCTCCAGGTGTACTCATCTTTACAGCCCCCAGGAAGCTCGGAGCAGTGAGCGGTTCCTTACCCCCGAACTGAAACTATTCCTAACCGACCGAGGGGCCCTGTGTCTACACTGTTGGCACAAACCTCGTGGTTCATGCTGAACGCCTGCTTTCCTGCTGGGTGCCTGGATTTTGGAGGTGCCCGGCAGCGTGCCCACGTGACCGACCCAGCCCAGGCACGGAGTCTCTAAGGCGCTTCCCTGGAGGAGCACGCCTCGTGTTTCCACACTTCCTTGCTGGGGGAAGAGCACGTTCTGCGAGACCTTCCGGGAATTTCCGAGGGAACGGAAGGAATCAGCACCCGGATTCCTCCTGACCGCTCCCTCCCAACCTTGGAATGCGGTCGTGCATATCCGTAGTGCGCCCTAGACCCTTGCACACAACCCTACTCCCAGTCCTGCGAGCCCCCTAGCAAGTCCGCGGAGCTGGGGGTGGTCTCGGGAACCCCACACACCTGCCCTCCCCCTTGGCTCAATGGAGGAACCACTTCTTCTTGCCGGCTCGGAAGCATTTCCAGTGTTTGGAGAGCTGAGCCCCAGTCTCCATCCATGTCTCCACTCCCCCATAAGTACATCTGGAACTCTCCAGAACTCGTTTGCCTGCGTGCCTGGAATCTTTCCCTTGTCTACATTCTCGGGAAAGAATTCAGAGTTTCCACAGCAAACGTGTCTGCGGTCAGGGCCTCTGTCCCCACGCGTTCACATCTTCCGTGCAAAACATGCTTGTGAGCTCTCCTGGACCCCTATGCCCTCATGTGGACTGCCCCTCCTGTGTGCCCTCAGCGAGAGGCCCACATGTCCACATACAGAAGCTTCCTCGTCTCCTCTTCCCACACAGGATGCTCCCCAGTCCTGTGTTTCTCCCTGAGAAACCGCAGCCCCAATCTTGAGGGACGCCCTGGCCTGCGAAGGCAGAGTGTAGTAGAGTGTAGTGGAAGCTGGCCTGGTCCTCCCGGCTCCCAGGAGCCCAGACACGGGGCACCGGGGGTGCTGGGTGGTGAGATCCTGAGGATTCCAGGTGTGGAATGCCACGTCCCACATGGCAGCAAAAACTGCAACTGCTGCCTGGAGTCTCACCCACTCCATGATCTGGCACACACACGCTGGAGCCCATCCCCGGCCTCTGCGGGAAACTCTGGGCTGTGTACCCCAAGGTGCGGTCTGCAGGACATGCGGGCCTGTGGTTCCTGAAACGTTTGCTCAACACGCCTTCCCGCCCCGTCCTCAGCAAGTCACATTCAGCAGTGCATGCAACCGGCACCCTGCACACACACTGGGAGAAGCGAAGTAACAACCAGACAGCAGACGGGAGGCTCGGAGCCGCTAGGATTTGTGGGCTGGCTGGAATGGCCACCTGCTCCTCGGCACTGCTCACCGTCCCCCTCTGACCGCCCCTTTCACAAAACCTGACTCTCAGGATTCACTTTGCAAAAACCTTCCCTTCCGTGGGATGCGTTTTGCAACCCTGTTATTGGGGTCACCCTGAGCAGGTTCTATCATCTCCCATCCCCGGGAGCTTCCGTGGGGCACGCTCACCCAGCTGCTGGTCCAGCTCCCAGCTTAGATGCCAGAAGGCCACACGGGGCCCCAGCAAGGCCCACAGCTGCTCCTGGATGAGTCCACCCCCTCTGTGGTGCAGAGAGCGTGGCTTCCTCCACCAGCATGTACACAGCTTTCGGCTGCATGCAGGAAGGGCCTCTCTGGGCTGCTGTGCCCGCTGCACCCACGGGCACCCTGGCCTGTGTCTCCACCCACCACCCCACCTCCCCTATTCCTTACATCTTGTGAGAACAGGGTCTTCTTGAAGCTCCCTCTGACTCACCAGCTGGTTGAAATGATTTAGAAAACGAAACAAGTAGCAACCCGATGTCCGTCCTCACCACTCCTGATCCTGCACACCTGTTCCTGACGGGCTGCAGCAAGGCCCATGTTCTTCACCTATGAGCCCCTGATGGCTAAGAATAGGCCCACCTGGGCAGCCTGACCCAACCTTAGCAGCCTTTCTGAGAGTGGGGCCCAGGTGTCTCTGGAACAGGCTGTGCATACTCTTTGAAGCAAGAGCCCCTGTGTGCGTATGTCAGGTGATGCTACCTGTCCTTGTCAGGAGCTGCAGGGTTGGGCTGGCAGGAGGAAGCGAGGGGCCACGGCTTTGCAGGTCTCCCCGTCTGAGTGGCCTTTGCTGGAACCTTCCACCAAACTGCTGGGTTGCAACCTGCCAAGGAGGAGGATGCACGTCCCGCTGCCGTGTGAAATTCGCCCCATGACCAGGTGAGGAAGCAGGAAAATAAAGCCCTTGGGTGAGGGAGGGAGGGGCCGACTGGCCATCCACTGTGGGCTGAAGGTGCCCACGTACTTAGGCCTTGCTTGTCCTTACTGGTTTGGTTTTGCTGCGAGCTATTTCCTGTGTTTCAGATTCCTGCACAAAGTCTGTGTGGTCTGACTGTGAGGGTGGCTGGGCTCCAGCAGGGGCGGACACCACTGGGCTCAGCTAGCAGTCAGCCCCTCGCGGGGCCCTGCGGCTTTCTCCCGAGGAGCTCCTTGCCTGGGTGCCTGCTGGCCTCCTAGGAGGAAGCCCCCTCCCTCCCTCTCCCCCCCATCCCTCTGTCTGATCAGCTTCAGAATTCTGCTCCTAGCATAGCGGATGTCCCAGCCGGCTTCTCATCACTGTAAGTACCGGGCTCTTGATCAGCTCTGTGAATGGTGACATTGAAGGTCTTCCCCGGGGAGACTCGGTGCCCCCACCCCCACACGTACGGGGTGCAAGAACCTGTGCGGTCGCGATGCCGCCTGCGCGCTTCGGGAAGGGACCCTTCAGCAGTCTGGTGCGAGGCCACTGCTCTGGGATTTCTGGCGGTCCAGTGCTGATGGGGGGTTCTGTAATCCATCTGCCTTGAATGAGACCCTCGCTCCCAGCAGCCAGCAGAACAGGGTCTGTGCGAGTTTCCTGCAGCTTGCTGTAATATGTTTCCACAAGCTGGGGGTTTGCCCTCTCAG